ATATAGTATATACGTATATATATATTCATATATAAGTATATATATATATACATATATAAATATATATATATATACACACACAAACACATATATATATATATATATATTTATATATATATATGTATATATATTTGTATATATATATATCGCATTCAAAATATATATCATCGTGCTTTGCTCCTGTTGATGTGAGAGTATAGTTTACACAATCATGCTAGCATTGCGTTATCGAATAGCCCGCCGATGCTGATATTCCCTGATTAAGCGGTGCGTGTTCCAGTGTTGCACACGCGTTTGAAATTGCTGTATTGATGAAGTAAAAAATACCCCATGGTCTTCGTACAATACACAGTTCGGATGCATCTATGGCATTTTTGGATCAACCCCACCCACATCGTCGCCAAGTGCATGCTCAGACAACCACTAGGCAGTTGGTTCATCACGTCACTTATTAATCGTTAACCAGACCAATCAATAGAATCATCTATATCAATCTCTCACCCAAAGCACTCCAATCCATCTTGTGTACGTGGTTACATACATCTCACACATCTATGTCTATATCCCCACCCAGACTGCTGCACACGCCTAGACCGCACCATGTACAGCAGCGCAGCTAGTGGCACGCGCACCACAGACGCAGCAACGACTGCACGCGGAAAACAGCGTCAACATTATGACCTGGAACGCGAGCAACGGCGGTCACGAGCGCCGTCGGGGCACACCGAGGGGAGTGTCGGTGAGTATCGAGAAAACAGAGACACAGATAGAGATATGGTAGGGTATAGAGAGCGGGAAAGAGATAGGGAGAGTGATAGAGAGAGGGATAGGGATAGGGATCGAGACCGTGATTCCGATAGTTATAGTAGCAGAGACCGGGAAAGAGAACGGGACAGGGATCGCGATAGAGATGCCGTGTCGCCGAGTCAAAGCGGGGCCGGGGCCAGAAGGATGGACTGGGACGGGAAAGAGAAACGCGGTATGGAATTGCGCAGCGTCAGTGGGGGGTATGTGCGAGAAAGTAGAGAGCGAGATAGGAGTGAGCGTGAGCGGGACCGAGACAGAGACAGAGATCCCCGCGAGCGGGATTTAAGAGATCGCGAACGCGACCGAGAAACACGCGATAGAGACCGCGGAGAAAGGCGCAGAGATGGCGGTGGTGGTGGCGGGGTGAATGGCCCCCCGCAAACGCACTGGCAGCACGACTCGAGACTGAGGAGTAGTGTGTCCGGTAGGGACGACCGAGACCGGGATAGAGATAGCGCGAAGTCCCGGGAAGGGAATAGGGGGGGTCTAGAGGGGGGTCTGGAAAGAGGCCTGTCTGGATCAGGCAGTGGTAGGGCTCGGCGGATGGATTCGGCTCAAATTTTAGGGCGCAATACATCTCCGGTGCGGGGCTCGGAAGACGATCAATATCATTCCAATACACTCACGAGTACTGGTTCAATAACAAGTAATGACAATATGGCAGACGCAAATCCGAGTACAAACCCTGGGACGGGGCGGGATTTCGGTGAGAAGGCTTCGCAGTCGATCCCGAACGGAATATTATCGGAGACCAAATCACAAATACCAGCAACTTACGCCGCAAAGTCGGGATTAGATAGCGCTAGTTCGGGTGCACGAAACAGTAACAGCTTCGTATCAACTCACAACGAGGACACCGGACATAATCTGATCCACAGCCAGAGTCTTTCTGGGTCGTCCAGTTATCTGTCGTCTGTGAATAGCGGACTACAAACGAGCAAAGAGAACGCATCCACAGGCAACCTGGCCAGGAAAGATGTGTCCACTGCAGGTGGTACGGCAGGCGGCGCTCTGCGCGGGGGCGTGGACACAGCGCTAGGGTCTACGTCTCCAAGCGCCAACGTTACACCGACGTCCCGGCAGAGGGATCACAGAGGCGCTACCTCCAATGTGGTGGGAGATGGCGGCGATAGGGAGCGCGATCGGGTCAACGATCGAGACAGACAAGAGAGAGACCGCGAACGTGACAGGCAAGACCGTGACCGGGAAAGAGAGCGCACAAAGCGCGACCGTGCTGGGGGTGGGAACAGCTCGAGGTATAGCTTGGATCGGATTGGCGGAGCAAGCCGCGAGGTCGGGGCAGGCAATAGGATGACCGCAGGCGGCGGCCCGGATCTGGCGCCTATGCCGCCGCGAGCGCGACCGCGAGCGGGCGGAGGCATGAATAGGCTGTTCCAGGGTGCGCTTAAGGACGTCAGGCGCGCGCGCGACACGGAAGTGAAGAAGAAGAAGGAGGAAGAGGTCAAGGAAGCCAAAGAGGTAGGTAAGATTGTGGATTCTCAGACTCATGCGGAGGGGCTCTCATCGTCTGGCCCGAGTGCCAGCGATGTGCGTAGCGGCACACGAAATAACACAGACGATGACCGAGAACGCGATAGAGAGCGCTCGGGGACCGAGAGTGGGGCTGCAGCGGGAGCGATGGTTAGAACGGCGTCGAGAGACTCGGAGGCGAGTAGTATGATGGTCAATGACTCCCTGAACACACACTCACCCCGGGTGAGATCCAGTTCCATCACAAGCTTAGTAGGTGCGCGAGCGTCCACGCCGAGCGGGAAGGACGCGACGGCGGCCGTGCGGGACAGAGACCGCGAGCGCAGGAAAGAGCAGCACACCACCCCCCACACACAAGCCAACCTGGCCGTGCGTAAACCCACTACTACCACACCTCAGGCCCACACCTCAGGCACCTCGACGGCGGTGGTACGCAAGGGCTACGAGAGTGACCAGGCACAGCCCGGCGGGCTTGCCTTGGCGGCGTCCTTGTCGACATCCGGGTCCACGAGTAACCTGTCTAAGCTGCACTCGCCCGACGCCAGTTCATCAGCACGATCGTCGTCGGTTACGAGTCTGCGGACGGCCTCGGGTAGCGTAGCGCCGGCCAACGTTGCCGGGGCGGGAGCCAGTGGGGCCCGAATGGGCCGGCAGGACAGCTCCAGTAGCCTAAGTAGTTCAGTTCATTGTAATAGTATCAGTAACAAGGATGACCGCGAGCAGGAGCGGGAGCGGGACAGAGACCGCGATACCCCGCTGCAGGCAGGGAGTGTGTCTAAGCCGAATGGCGAGAGTGTGGGCTCAGATAGAGAGCGGGAGCGAGAGGGCAGGGAAAGGGCTAGCAGAGCGTCTTCCACTGTGTCCCATGCTGCTGGCGTGACACGGGAGCAGCAGCAGCAGCAAGCCCTGGCCGCCTCGAAGATGCTCAAGAGTGGCGGAGGGGCGTCCAATTGGAGGCGGTTGTCTGAGGACGAGGACTCGTACCGCGAGCATACAGAGCGCTTAGAACGCACCGAGCGCGATCACGATCGTGCGGGCGAGCGTCTGAGTGAGCGCGAGAGGGAGCGCAAGCACAACGAGGATATCCGCGAGCGAGACCGCGAGATGCGCGACCGGGAACGCGAGAGAGATCGCGAGAGCAGGGACGGGCACAGTGGGCGAGATAGAGACAGGGATAGAGACAGGGACCCTATCAGCCACTCAACAGCTATAAGAGAGTGGGATCGAGACCGCATCCGGGATAATGAGCGAGACAGAGAGCGTGAGCGCGAACGCGATATCAGGAAACGACAAGGCAGCAACGCACAACAACAGCTGCAGCACGGCTCGATGAAGTCTCCCCCGATTGGCGCGAACACCAACCAGCCTGGTGGGCGGGATAGAGATAATCGAGACACCCGGGAACGCGGCGACAGGGACAGAGACAGGGACAGAGACACACACGGACGGGGCAATAGAGACCGGGACGGTAATAGAAGGGCGGGCGACCGAGGCAATAACGATCGCATCAAGCAGTGGTCGAACCGAGACGCACGCGAGTTTGAGATGATGCAACGCGCGCAGCAGAGCCAGTCCTCGCAGTGGCAGCAGCAGCAGCATGTACAGCAGGCGCTCAAACCGCACGAGATGTACCAGCAATACGCCCAGTGGCCCCAACAGCACGCCCAGACCCAGGCGCAGCAGAACTACATGAACATGATGAATTACATGTACCACAGCCAGGTCCAGCAGCACATGGGTGGGCCGGATCAGTGGGCTCAGCTCGCGAATATGGCGAGCATAGACCCCGTATTAGCCAGCCTGATTGCGAATGGCGCGGGTGCGGATGTGGCGGCGGGGTCGCACGACGCACAGATGCGCGAGCAGGTGATGGCGATGATGGCCGCTCAGCAGCAGCACCACGCTCTCAATGGAGGGCTGGGTATGCAGGGGGCCAATTACGGGACGAATAACGGGATGGGCGGGTCGCAGCCGACTATGGTCAGCGGGACCGGTGATACGATGATGTTCTATCCCACGCTCAGGCCGAGTGTAGCCGGGCGCGACTTCAATCTGTGTGTGGAGCTGAGCGATTCGGAAGACGAGGACGAGAGCGATGGCGACGTCTCCGACTACGCGCAGTCGCATCTGCACGCACAGCAGGCTCACGCACACGATAGTGGAGACGCATCGTTTGACAGCGGGTTGGCGATGAACCCGGACATGTCCGCCCAGGAAACCCTAGACGCCACGCTGACCCTTGTGGCGCCCAAGCAGCACTCATTGCGCCAGGAGCCGCACATCAGTGCATTCGGCGCGTGTGACACGTCACGCTGTGACCACACGGAGCTGGAGGTGGACCTCAGCTTCATCTCTGACAATCTGCGGCAGATATATACCATCACACAGAACATCCTGGAGACCCACGCCGAGGCGACGCTGCAGCATCTCAGGCAGGGCTCGTCTGGTAAGAGCGCCACCCCCGCGGCGGCTGTGGCGGGCATTACGAGCGATGACGAGGACATCTTCCAGTACCTTTCCGACGACGACGACCGGGACACTATATACTACCCTAACCCAGCTGATCTGGTCACTGCCAGCGGCGATGCGGAGGCCGCGAACGCCGTTGGAGATGATGGGGATGGAGACGGTGATGGAAACGGTGCACTGAGTGCCACTGAGGACGGCGTGGCGGTGCCGGATATGGACACGGCTACCAAGTCTGAAACGACTGGCGCTGGTGACGCCGTGGGTGGGGATAGTGTGAGTGTGTGTGGCGGACCTACGACAAGCACAGCAGAGCGTGGGGCAGGGGACCAGTCGGGGCTTGCTGGTGACGGGCGCACGCATGCGGCTTCTGTAGATACAAGTGCCAAGCAGGCGGTGGGCAGTACTGGAGACAGTACCGATCCTGAACGTGCGGGTGCAGGTGCGCACGCGAGTGGTGCTGAACTTGAGAGGAGCCGAAGTCCCGAACTTTCGCACCTGTACGCGGTAGCTGATGGTGTGGGTGTGGGTGTGGCTGCGGGCGAACCAGAGACCGCGGATAACACACCGGTGCTCAAGCGCACGCAAAGGGCGTACGTGTCACTGTTGTCGGAGGACTCACTCAGCACCGATGTGGACTCGGATGGGACGATCCTAGCCACTGAGATAGAGTCGGACAATGAGGTGGATAGTACCGTGGAGGTACAAGGCAGGTTAGCAGAGGTGGACTACATGTTAGACGATGTGTTAGGAATAAACGACGCGGTGTATACCACCGCCACACACACAGAAGGCCCAGCCTCACGCGCAAAGCTCGCGGGACAAGCAGCTGGCGCAGCGCACGGCACAGATGCACAGGAGACGAGGATCACGCAAATAGGCACGGCTGTTCCGGTGCAAGGGGGTGTTATGGCTGATGCAGCTGCCACACTGTCACATGCTAACGTTGGTGTACGTGCGGCTGCGGGTGCTGGTGCTGGTAGCTCGATGCTCACGAGTGCCGATGTCGAAGACCACGTGGCAGGTGATAGTGGACCACCCGACCACTGAGTGTTTAGAGTGTATAGGTTAACACATAAAGTGTACAGCGTGTCACATATAGTGTGTAGCTTGTCACGTATAGTGTACAGGGTTGTTTTCCGTATATAAACCGGTTTCGGACTGGAAGAACCCGTCCATCTCGGGCCCGTCGAACGCCCCTTTGCGTCTAGCGGAGTGGGCCTGGGGTGCGTATGGGTTGGCTCGGGAGACAGAACCACGTGACGCGGCGTGTGCCTGTCCAGTTCTCGATGGGAACATTGCGAATGCGACGTGTGACAAGGCATACTATAGCTCTTCGGTAGGTGTAGCGCAGCATGTCAGTGGTGAAAGTTCGGTACTTGTCCCCCACTTCGAGTGGCCAATGTCTGGGGTAGTCGAATAATAAAACCAAGTATCGTATGCGAGGGGGATAGCTGGCGTCAAGACCACTGTGGACAGGCTATTGTAAATTTGTTGATGCCGTACGAACACGCCGGGCCAGCGTTGCAGACACTAGAAGGATCCAGTTAGGACGGTTCGGCTCGCCCAATGCCGTGTTTGATCGACGCCATATACCCGTCTTTGGTGCGCGTAGGCAAGCTGGATGGGTCAATAACAGTCCAGTCAGCATAGCGTAGGGGAATTTGAGTTCGCTTGTTTATTAAGGTCGATTAATCGATCGATCGATCGATTGATTCATCGTGCGTGTCCCAACGGGTTCACCCCATGCCACAACAACACCCTACCGGCAGTACGGCACAAGAGGTATCGAAGGCACGCAGCACGGCATCTCAATGGAACATGACCGTACACAGACTACACAGACTTGTTGTCGCACGACCACTTGCCTGCTGCAGGTGGTGCTTTGAGATCAGGCCCATGGTATGTGTAAGGACACTCCACTACCGGCCCCATGGGCAATGCTCGGGTGCAAGGTGACGGTAGTCTTGGGATAGCGATGCACTATTATATGACACGTAACCATCTCAGTTTGCGGTTCAGGCAGAATAACGATAGTCAGTTTATTGGGTACCCCCACACCACCAGTCGTCTCTAGAGGCTGTGAGACCGCACGTACGCGACATGCCGATTCCGTAGATTGTGGGTGTGGCGAGTGAATCGGTGTATGGTTGAGGTTGGAGTGTCCTCTACTCTAGTGCACACAGATATGGCTGGAGTGCGTATGCACACACGCACACGCACACACGGGTGGCTCATTATTTGCTAATTTAAGTGGTTGGGACGGATGAAGATGAAATTTAGAAAACCGGGAATCTACGGATACCATGGAAGGGCCCTGACAGGTCACGTCATGTCGTGCCATGGTTGAGGAGGCATCTGACATTTCGAGTGGATCACGGAGCAAGTTTAGTTAGAAATGGTATTTATATCGATCGTGAGAACGGAGATACGGCAGAATACCTGTGTGTTCAGAACGGAACGGCACCACAACCCTTTGTGTGTGTGTGTGCGCGTCCGTCGTGTTTGTATGTGAGAAAGAAAGATATCAAGATGTATGCTAAGGGGGTTGTTCTTCCCTGATAGTGTGTACTAAACACCCAGTCAATATTAAGATCCCCTACCGAGAAAAAATAAAGGTGAAACATGAGGCGAGTCTTGGCTGCTGAGCCAAGGCTATGCCGGTACCCTACGCTGGCTGCACTGTACTGTCGTCTTTGTCTTGATGCGAAAGCGTTAAGTTTGAATTTCTTTAGCCTTGCCCCTTTGTTCTGATGCGGATGCGTTGAGTTTGAATTTATTTAGTCTTACCGCTTTGTCCTGATGCGAATGCGTTAAGTTTATATTTCTTTAGCCTTACCGCTTTATCGATGCGTACGCGTTAAGTTTGAATTTCTTTAGCCTTGTCCCTTGGTCCTGATGCGAATGTGTTAAGTTTGAATACCTTCAGCCTTACATTCGTTTGCAACACGTACAAACTAATACTTCCGAGACTCTGCAATACATACTAGGCATCATATCTCTTGGTTACCTTCGCTGGCGCCATCAGATATACAGGAGCACTTATGTAGCATTTGATATATACAATCAACACTACATCATTCGTGTACAAGCTTGATATGGATGTGTGTATGTATGTGCACGTGGATATAGGTGTATGTATGTAAGTATGTCATTCAGTGTGATGATTGCCAGGGTGACCCCCAACTCTCCACTCCGCAGAACCGTTTGGACCCTGTCTCCGCTGTACGACACACTACAACCCAGTACTTCACCGGCGTGTTGCAGAGCAAAGTATCTGTATGACCGTATGACCACGTGTATGCCAACAGGCTCATGCACTTGATGATATACACACAGGGACGCGTGCAGGTATCATATGTCTCCTATCGCCCAGAGGGGTGGCTTCTGTTCTTTCTGAGAGCAGTCGCATTTCGTAGTGAGGTGCATGACAAAGGGTGTCAACTGCCCACTCCAATACAAGCTGCCCCCGACCTCACGCATTTAACATTACCCCTACAGCCCTACCGACCACCTTTGTCCTACTTCTCGTTGCTATTGCTTTTAGTCCTGCGCGTCGGTTGGTCACTTAAGTCTTGTCTGCGGATACATAATCTCTAATGAGTTGATCCGTCAACGTATATATACACACATTGATGGGCGTTCCTACCGACCACCTTTGCCCTCCTTCTCGTTGCTATTGCTTTTAGTCCTGCGCGTCGGTCGGTCACTTAAGTCTTGTCCGCGGATACATTTTCTCCAATAGGTTGATCCGTCAACTTATAGACGCACATTGATGGGCGTTCACCACCACACCGCCTAGTAGTGGACAGTAGGTAAGGTACTGGTACGGAGCTAGATGAATCGATCGAGACCAGATATAGTATGAGAGGGTATGTATCTCCCGATAGGGTTCAAGGCTGTTGAGCTCACAATGAATAAGAAATACTGCAGAAGGCACAGACTGTAGTCCACGCAAGATAATATGACACTATGCAGCCCAACCACGTCAACCTCGGGCGCAAAGATACGAGGACAGAGGGTCAGCGACGGTTAGGCCCAATTTAGGCCGGAATGCGAACCACTTTTGCCGTGGTCTTTGCACAGACTGTTAATATTCTGCTGGTTGATCAAGCACAAGCACGAGGACATACAACTGCATAACTGCGGCGCATGCGGTTCGCAAACCACACGCCTGAATGTGCTGAGTCATATCTCACCTGGAAATCAGGTACCAGGAATAGGAGGGGAAACAAGACGTGTTTGTATTGCTCAGCCAGACCAACGAGCCAACTAACAGAAGTCGATAGTTAGATGGACCCATTCCGAAACAAGGCGCGGATGAGCATCCCACACACCTTAAGCATATCGTTGAGCGAGTACCGAGAGAGTGGAACTAGGCATTGCGACGATCTAGGCAGGGCAGGTATAGAGCTTGTATACCATTCCTAGGGTACTCACTCATAGCCTCCTAAATAGGGTTTAGGGTATTCTAAACCCTCAAAATCCTAAACCCTAGAACACTCGCTGCGGAATACGAGGCAAGCGGCTAGCACGGGTACAAGGCACTCGAGTGATTGAATTCCGTGTTGTCTGTGATAAGAATATGAGACTATATAAGGATGTGTGTGTACTACACACAAAAATCCCTTTCAGAAGATGCACCAGAGAAAGGTCTACTGGGCACAACTTTAGGGTGCAATAGGGTTTAGGGTTTAAGGTTTAGAGTTTAGGGTTTACGCGCCGCATGCACAACGCGTTGATAAATTGATACATCCTCTTGGCATCGTCACGCATCGGAAAATACTGCGTCAAGCCACAACAACAACACGCTCGCAACTGATTTCTCACACGCCACCCCAAATCAATAAACGGAATGCGATTATTTTTATTGGATACACTCCGAGTCGGATTTACTACACGACAAATACGCACCACAAAAGCAAACAGTTTACCGTCGGCTTTGCAACCAACAACGGCAATACAACCGACAACTGATTTCTCACACGCCACGCACACAAGCTAGACCCTAAACCCTACGGCACAAGTGTTGTTTCAACGAGTGTCCATGCACGCATACGATGTACTTATTGCTTGATTCCTTTATTAGTGGAGTGGGGTGTCTGTATCGCACGCGTGGTTCATGCCGTGGACAATGCCAGCTGTGTAGGCGATCGATGCGATTCGATGCCAAGCTGCACGTGCGCGTCGCGGCCATCGGAGCGGCTCTCGGTCTGTCCAGAGGCATAGATACACACACACACACACGTGTGTATGCGTGTGTTGTACGTACATATACACATAATTGATGTTTTCGGGTCTGCTACGGCTATAGAGTCCATCCAGCAGTGGCATGGTATACGTCCAGGGTATATTAAAAACCCTACCCCCCCCCACGGATATATAGGACATTTCTGACCATAAAACCCGGAGGCTGTAGCTCGGCAGCCCTAAACTTGAGCAGGGATGTCGTGCTTCCCTCCGCCCCTGCAGATGTGTAACGTGGGATAGGTGTAAGCTGGCGTAGAAGTATCTGCAAGGTCATACAATACATGGTCTTTGCATGGTAATACAATACATGGACTTCAAACCCTCAGTGGCTTAGGCGATCACAGTTCGTGAATAGGTAGGCTAGGGGAGATGGGCTGGCTTTTCAAGGATACATGGGAAGTGTCAGCCCCAGCAGATATATACGTGTGACCAGTGTAGGTCTGCAGGAAGCGCATATCATATCTGTATGGTTATTTATTACATGTACTTCCATCCTTCTCGAGGCCAGCACAGTCCGTCGATGTGTAGGTAGGTAGGGTAGGGGGTGATAATCTATTCTCAGCGATGTAGTGTAGTGGGATGCGATGGCGGAGAGATTCGCAGTCGTGCAGAGACAACGATAAGTAAGTGTGTGACCCTGTATTGGTACTTGGGACCTAGTCGTCAAGGGCCAGTAGGTCCGGGCTGGCCCTCGTTCTAGAATTAGGGCCAAAAAAGACCCGTTTACTACAATAGCGGTAGCAGTTTATGTCCGAATACACCACCTTGAGTGGAGGTAATGCGTGGAGTCACTCCATCCACGAGTGCTCTACTTTAGCTGGGACCACTTTCTCATACGGGCTAAGTGACACATACACACACCAGGATATTCATGCACACGCCAAAAGATACATGCACGCGCCACGTGACATATACAGACATCAGAAGACTCGTACACACGCCAAAAGACATACAGACATGACGGCGACTTCTTGATTGTGGAGTTTTTGGCCCACTGCTCCTCTGTCTTGGCCACCACACTCAGAGCGTGCACGCCATTGGCCAGTTCATCGGCTAAGATGTCATTAACCATCCTACGTGTGAGAGAGACAGGATAAGCGTGAGTTGGCAAACCCTAAAACCCAAACTGTAGTGCAAACCCTAAAACCCTAATAATACTGCAAGCAACCGGCGAGAATATCAGGGGATGTTATGTATCGCAAACTGTTGTCTTTGTGAGAGCGGAGAACATAAAATATTGAATACAGTTATAAGGAAGCGGACGTAGAGAGTTGAATACTATTGCACAGGAGCGGCGCGACTATTAGAGGATACGAAGTATCGTAAGCCAACTTCGTGAGAGAGATATGGGGTACATAAACGTAGATAAGTGACAAAAGAGGGCCAAGAGATCGAGCCCCAGGTAGTTTGTAGGGCTGGGGTGGTCAGACGTACACAAAAAGGCGTGTATTGTGAGTACATATATATGTATGTATTCGTGTCGAACGTGTACGTATAACAAAAACAAGTATATATATATATATATATATATATATATATTCAGGCGAAGGGAAGACATACAGTAGGTGTCGTGCAACCTTC